TCTTTGGTGGAAGACATTCATGGTCAGTAGTTTGTGCTGTTTCCTAGCTGCATTGAAACGAGTAGGTTTAAAATATCTGGATTGTTGTTCTAAACAACTGGCTCCACCCATTCACTGGTACCAGGCGGGCCCCTTCCCAGGCTGAGTCCAGCCTTGATGTGGCCCGAGAGCCCAGAAGGCAAGCAGCTGGCTGGCTGGGCGTGCCCAGTTGCTGCCTGGTGAAGAGGCTTTTGGTGGCGTTGCTAGGCAACCTGGGTAACTGGAGAGGCCACAGATTGGGCTTTGGGGCCACAGAGATTAACAGCCTCCCTCATCATACAGCAAACCATCATTATGCCCAGTTCAAGGAGTCCAGCAATCTCTCTGTGGTCACAGCCTGAAACGATGCTTTTTTAGCTACATAAATTCAGAAACTGGCTTTTCAATATTATGGGCTTGTGGTTGTGGTTATTTGCCTTTTGCTCCATCTCTGAAGGCACATTTGGAATAAATAGGGGAAAAGATTTAAAAACAAAAAAATGCTTCACAAACCCAGGTTTTCAACAGTTTTTCTGAGGCAAAGCACACATACCCTCCCCAGTGAGGGCAACTAAGGTAGGGCCACTCTGCTTCCTGAGGTCTCACCAGAGCTCATCATGGTTTAAAGGCTTCTTCCTTGGACCCCCACAGCTCTGACTGCAGTTCAAGGTGGAGGGACCAGAGCCTTGGTCACACACAGAATAGCTTCTTCATGTCCTTCCCATTAGACCATCATAACACCTCACCCTTTCCAGTCTAAGGACCACTTTCTCCTATGTATTTTGGTGGCTCCTCCCATCTGCCTTATCTATGAAGGCGAAATCATTGTTATTTCCACTTTACAGATGAACAACTAAGGCAAAAACAGGCACCCAGGATTACTTATCTCGTGACAGCGCAGCAGGAGAACAAATCCACTCATCCAGGAGAGGCCAGATCCTAGGCCTCTCCACTATATGGTCTGCCTCCTCACAGAACTGTTTCGTATGTTACAGAGATTTATGTACCCCCATTATAATGTTAATAATAGTAATAATAACACACATTGCTATAGGAGACATAGGGAAATCCCTCCTGCATCTTATACTATCCTCAACCCATCATCATCCTTATTGATTGAGCTTTAGAAGCTTCCTCATGTACACTAAGAAATACAGTCTGGAAGAATCCCCCCAAATGGACACACTAAATGAGCCAAAAGACCTAGCACACCAGCATACAGCGCTGATGGGATCCTGACCCTGAGACATTTCCTCCCTAATTCAAGCAGTTGGCTGTTTGAGAGCATCATGATACTATATCACTCTCTCAAGTAATGAGACAAAAATCATTGCTTTTTTATTAGAAATTTGTAGGTATTTTCTCCCAAAAAGACTTTTGCTACCTCAATGAAATGTTTCTTAAACATTTCAGTGATCTATTGATAATAACCAATCATCCCAGTTTGCATAGGACTGTGAGTTTCTTGGAATGTGAAACTTTCAGAGCTAAAATCAGGTCAGACCTGGGCAAACCAAGGGTGTTTGATCACCCTGTCCCAGATCAATCAGCTCAGAATCATCCAAGGAGGTTAGGCAAAGATACTTGGTTTTTATACCTAAAGCTATTGTTCTTAACCCTGGCCTCATATCAGAATCTTCTGATGAGCCTATTTATCTGGACTCATTCCAGATCAATGGAATCAGAGTCTCTTAGGCTGGGACATGTACATTGGGATTTTTTTTTTTTTTAATTGGCACTGGGGTTTGATCCCAGGGGCACTCTACCACTGAGCTACATCCCCAGATTTTTTTATTATTTTCAGATAGGATCTTGCTAAGTAGCTGGCCTCAAATTTGTGATCCTCTTGCCTCAGCTTCTGGATTTACTGGGATTATAACCGTGTACCACTAAACCTGGGTCTGGGAATTTTTTTTTAATGAGCATCAAAGAATAAAATCCTAACCTTGGGATTAAGATTCAGAGATTCTGGGCTTGGGTCATGCTGGGAATCTGTAGGCATTTTTAATAAGGTTTCCCAGGTAGTCTTTTGCACACCGTGTTTTGATAACCACTGAATGCTTATGTGGACATTCATTGGACACACTTTCTCTGAATGACTTATATGCCATGGGCTCTGGAAACACATAGGGAAAAAACAAAACAAAACAACAACAACAAAAAAAACTTTTCATTTCTCCAGGCTCCCGAATTCAGCAGGGAATAAAGACCTATAAATTGTTCCAACACAATGTGCTATGATTTAGACTAAAAAATGGGTCAGCCCCATCTGAGTGGTTACAGTACTCAGTTTCCATAAACCTAGCATGGCAAACTAAAAATGGAGCCTATTATTTGCCATTCCTCCCTCTGAAAGATCAGGTTTGTTTCCACTTTCCTTCAATCTAGGCCAACCCTATGACTGGTTTTGGCCAATACTACATAGCAGAAAGAGTGCGTCCAAGGCCACGCCCTAAGAGATGTGGCTCCTCTTGGAAAGCTCCTTCCTTGAAGCCTGACACCACGTAAGAAGGTTGGCTACCCTGAAGCCACCGTGCTATGAGGAAGCCCAAGCTACCCATGCGGAAAACAGCAAAAGACAAAATAACATGGTACTTGTTTTCAATCACTAAATCTTGGAGTGGTTTATTATACAGCAACAGCTACCAACGTCCCTCATCTGAGCCAGAGACAGAATGACATTTCATACCATTCTGCCTTTCATTAACCTTGACCATCTTTGGATCCCTCCAGGGATCAGACTGCAGATATCTTACCTGAAATAGCCTTCCAAATCAGTCTCTACCTCCATTTCCACTCCTACTTACCCTCCCCCCCCAAAAAAAAAAACATAAATCAGAATATATTAATTCTCCTTTAAAACCTTCAATAAGGGCTGGGCCCCCATGGTGCTCACCTATAATCCCATCTGCTTGGAAGACTGAGACAGGAGGGTTGCAAGTTCTAGGCCAGCTGGTCTTCAAATAAAATAAAAAGGGCTGGAGGTGTAGCTCAGTGGTAGACCACTTGCCTAGCACATACAAGATCCTGGGTTCTATACCTAGAACTGCCAAAAATAAAAAAAAAAAAATTTTAAAAAGCCTTCCATGGTTACCCACGGTCTTCAGGATAAATACTGGTAAAGTCCCAGTTTGACCTCAGCTCCTGCCTTCTTTATGGAGTTCAGCTTCTACCGCTCTCTCCCAACAGCTCTGAGTTGCAGCCACAGGGATTCTTTCTGTTCCCAGAACACATCAAACTCTTGCCTCAGGGTCTTTGCACTTGCCATTCATTTGGTGTAGCTTTTTCTACTCCCTCCTCCTCACTCTAATGTACACACACACACACACCCTTCTTCATAACAAGTAGTGCCTCCCTAGGGAGTCTCCCCCAGCCACGCCTTCTCCCACCCTCACATCCTGTAGCACATTCTCCTGCTTATTTGTACCCAGCATTTATCATATCTAAAAATATCTGGTATATTTATTGTCTGACTCTTTACTGGCTCCAGAAGAGACAGAAATGTTTGTTTTTCTATTCCATCTGTACTCCAGCCTAGCACAGAATGGGGCTAAGAGTTTGCTGAATTATCCATCAAATGAAAAAGAAGGAAGAAAAGAGGAAATATGGAGTATGGGGGGTTGGGGCTGTGGCTCAGTGGTAGAGCACTTGCCTAGCATGTGTGGGGCACTGGGTTTGAACCTCAGCATCACATAAATAAATAAAATAAAGGTATTGTGTACATCTACAGCTAAAAAATGTATTTAAAATTAAAAGAAAAAAGAAAGAAATATGGAGTATGGAAAGAGCACTGACATTGTAGGAGCCAAGAAAACCTGGTTCCTGCTGTAACTCTGCTCCTGCCTTCCTGTGAGCAAGCCACTTGACCTCACCTTATCAGGAACCTTATCCTCACTAAGTTACATGGCCAGTGCTGTCTACATGTGCTGCGCTTTGGAAGGTTTTTTTTTTACATATTTTTGTTTATGAGTCCCCATAAGTATTTTGAAAATGTTATGTCCCTTCTTTAAACTGGGTAGCTAACCCAGGGCCTCATGCATGTTAAACAAGAGCTCTACCTCTGAGCAACACCACCAGCCCCTGTCACACATTTTTAAGTTAATATCTAAAATTATTTTTCGCAAGCTAAAATGGGTTCAAAGACCAAGTTCTCTGGCATAGTCTTTGTTAGAGACATGCTTTAAATATATCTTCACCCAAACCTTGGAGCTACAGATTTAGCTTGTTCAGTTTACAGGAAATGTCTACCATATAATCCCGTTGGCAAAGCCACTCCTCACTGTCAAACCAACCAGCCAAATTAGATGGATTTTTTTCTATCTGTAAGAAAATACACTGCATTTTTAAAAAAGTTTTATAAATGTGTTCATTTGCATTCCCATGACAACAGGCTCCTCGCAACTCTAATTGTACAATACATAAAGAGCTAAATAACTTAAGGTTAATAGAAAGACATCACGGTTAACAGCCCCAATTCTAGAGGAGTACAAAGTGCCTGAATTCAAATCCTGATTTTATCACTTAATAGCTCTATGACCTCAAGCAACTCACCAAACCTCTCCATGCCTCAGGAAATTCATCTGTTTAAAAAAAAAAAAAAGATCAAAGTATCTATAGACTTGGTTCCTTTTCTGTAAAATTCATCAAACAGTGTCTAGCACATAAATAGAATCAAACAAGTATTTTAAAATAAAATAAATACTATGAGCTGGGCCTGGTGGCACAGCATGTAATCCCAATGACTCAGGAGGCTGGGGCAGGAGGATCACAATTCCAAGGGCAGTTTTGGCAACTTAGTAAAACCCTATCTCCAAATAAAATAACAAGGGCTGGGAATGTAGCTCAATGATAGAGCACCCCTGGGTTCAATCACCAGTACTGCAAATTGAATTAAACTAAACTGAATAAATAAATACTATGAGTCTGTAGTGAGACGTGACCCCTTACTATTTTATTTTACTTTTTTGCTTGCTCTCTCTCAGGAACAGAGCTTCTCCAATTGTCCTTTTGAACAATATGTCACAGAAAGATTAAAGATGGATAGAGGTGTACCTTTTTTTGAAAAGCCAAAGAAGAGAAACAATGAGAGCAAAATTGAAAGGAGAATTGAAAGGAATCTAGAGAAGAAGAAAGCATTTAAGAAGCAATACCTGTGGAGGCTGAGGATCTGGAAACTGGCTCCTTCAAAGCCATCAGTTGCAGGATGACTGGCATATTCCACACACCCTCCCCAGGCACACGCAGAGCTAGGTGGAATTCCTGGCCACCCATCTACAACTCTATCTCTTACATAAGAAAGCACATGGGACTGCAAGTTAGCAAGAAGAACGTCTTTGAATCTGCTCCAAGTTATACAAATGTAAATTATTCATAAATTTCAGCGCTTTTATTAGAAGGAACAGTTAGCAGTGATCCAGTGTACAACTAAGGACAGAATGTTAATTGACCAGGACATGGGACAACTCAAGAGGCTGTTCATGAGCAAACCATCACAAGGTCCTAAAAAGAAAATCTTATTTCCTCATTAAGGAGAGGACCCCACTAGCCAGAAAACCTCTGTCATCACCTAGACCCTGAGCATTGGTCACACTTTTGAAATGCAAATCAGGGTCTATGGTATAAAGTCCAAGTTCATTAACAAGGTTCACAAAGGCTTCCTGACCTGAGACCTATTTTTCCACTTTCAGTTCTTGCCATTCCCTGCAATACACCCTATATTCCAGCCTACTGAGCCCTGAGCAGTTCCAGCTCCCACTTTCCACTAAGCCTCTTCATAAGCTTCTCCCTCTGTTAGAACATCTTCCCTTCCCAGTTTGTTCTCCTGGAGAAGTCTGAGTACCCCTCTGACCTTTACACCTCCTCTGCAAAGCCTTAGTGGGCATCTATCTCATACCTGGTGCTGTGCTAGGCCCGGCAGAAAGAAAGCAGGCATGGTAGAATTAAATGCCCCTCTTAGGCCCCTCAGCAGCCTCTGCTCATGTCTGAAGTATATTCTTTGTATTATAACTGTCACGAGATGTGAACATCCCAAAACAGGACTTTTGTCTTACTTATCTTTGAATCCCAATTATCCCAGTCAATGGAATCCATCAATAAATATCTGTCAGCTTCATTTATTCACAAAAGATTCGCCCAACAGTTTTACCCTAGAGACATACAAGGTGCTGGTAACATAACTGTGAATCAACAGACATGAACTTACCCTCTTGGAACCTTGCAGTCTCATGGGATGAACAGGGCACTTGATTGAATGAATGAGTGGATGAATTAATGAATCAGAGAGTGTGCTCCTCCCCACCAGGCTGAGGCACCCCAAAGCTGGAGATGCACAGGAAGTAAAAAGACTAGTGTCTTAAGTAGCTGAGGGATCATGTTGGCCTCACTTTCAGCCTTTCTAGCACCAAGAAACTTAAGACAGAAAAGAATCAGGCAAAGAGCATGGAATTTAGAGTCTGATCTACAAGACTGAATTCTAGAACCATTACTTATTAGCCATGTGACTTTAGGTAAATAAATTCCTTAACCAGTGTTACTCCATTTCTTCATCTGAAAAATGGGGATAACATCATAACAGGTTTATGATTTTGTGAGATAATGTATTTCAAAGCCTTTGCCCTGCAGCCAGGCAGAGTTGGTTTTAAAGATTTAATGTGCAAGTTCAGACACACAGGAAGGTCTGGACCCAGCGCTGGTTCAGTGTTTTTACCTCCAACCAGCTGCCAGTGCTTTCCCTCTTTAGTCCCATATCCATACCTTCTGGCCTCCCTCTTCCTCCACCTGCTCCCTGCACTGCCCAGTTCTGTGTTTATAAGTCCACCTAGGTGCTTTCAAGGCCAGGAGTTGTCGCAGGTATCTTTACAAGCCTAAGGCAAGGGAGGTGCCAATGAGGGGTGTGGCAGGAAGGGGTTCAAAGAAGAAGGAAAGAGCAGATGTTTATCCAGGCTCCATGATATGCCCAGCCTTAGTACTTGGCATGTTTTGTTTCTTGTCATCTTTGTAAAAATACCATTTTACAGACAAGGAAACTGAGGTCCAGGAAGTAAGTGTGAGTTGTGGGATACGGCAAGTCTCCCTGTGACTCCAAAATAATTTTCTACCCTGCCACACTGCCTGCCAGCTTGTAGATGATCTTTAAATGTTTATGGATAAATTTCAGTTTTCTTAATCCCAGGAGAAGCAGACATAGTGCTTCCCGGTCCCTGGAGAATCCAAGTTCACACTCACAGAGGAGGAAGAAACAAATGAATAATAATAAATGAATGAGGTAGTGAAATCCCTCAGATGCTCAGACCCGGAAGGAGGAAACAAATAAGTCCGGGAGCTGCCTTGCTGAAAGCAGCACAGCAGACCCTGTGGTCGCCAGTGCCCAAGCGGGAGCAGAGGTCTGCCAGTAGGAAGGCTGGGAATCTGCTCAGTTGAAGGTAGAAAAAAAATGGAGTTATAACTGGGGATGGTGCTCAGCAGTAGACCCTTTTCCTAGCATGCTTGAGGCCTTAGATTCCATCCCCAACACTCCTCTCCAAAATTGGGGGTTCAGGGATGCTGGGAAGAACTGATGGAAGGAGAGAAAGCCAGCGATTGAATAGGACAAGGAAGGGGCATTACATTACCTGGACATCTCCCCCATCCTCATGTCCCTGGAGGAAACAGTCCCTGACTCCTGGTCCAACTGCTGCCAACTTTTAAAACGAAAGTTGCAGGACCCCAAGCGGCCACTCCAAGCTGCTCCGGAAGGGTGGTGAGGAGGGAGCACCCACGCCAGACTTGGACTATAGAGCCCAGGGGCTTCCTGCGCCGCCTCCAGTGGACACCCGGACTCCCTCACCGCCCCAGCGGGGACCTTACCTCGGGTGGCCCGAGGTAGGGGCGTCTCAGGCAGCACAGTCCGGTCACCGAGTTTGAGACGACCCGGGCTACCGGGGCTGCCAGCAGCCCCAAGTTCCCGCCCTGCCAGGCGCTCCCAGTTCCCTCCCCTCTACCGTCCAGACAGGTTCCCAGGACCCAGCCCAGGGGGAGGGAGTCTGAGGAAATCCCCTCCCGGGCCTGGGCCGGGCCAGCCTGTCGGGCAGTCCCGCTCTCAGGCTGGCTTTGGATGAATGAATCCTCCCCCTCCGCCTGCTTAGATCTGTGCCAGGGAACCTGTGACGCCTCCCTGTGCCTTCTCCTGGGCGCTGCACCCTCTCCATGCCTCCTCCAAGTCCCACAGTCCAGTTGTGTGTCTTGGCCCCTTGCCTTGCACTCTCAACCCTCGGGGGAGGGCCTCATGGGTGGTCTCTGTCACTCTGCACTGGGTTGTTCTCTGGTGTGAAGCCTGGCCTGGTACTGGGCACTGGA